AATATATATATATATATATATATATATATATATATATATATAATACACAAAAAAAGCACAATTGATTTTGATTTGCAATTTGCATCACTTATGTTGTCACATTCCCTCGTCAGCCTCAGGGGTTTAAGTGTGAACAACAATTAGTGGAGAAGTTGATTGAACATTTGTCTGGTAATGTGGAATTGAGGTGTCGGCTTACCCGTAAAGGTAAACCATTACCACTCATGAGTCATGGTATCGCCTTTTTTTTTTTTTTTTTGTTGGAATCTATTTTCCTTCTTTTCTTTCTTTGTCTTATTGGATAATAGTCCAACGTTTAAATCAAAAAAGAGAGAACAAAAATCTTTTACCTTACATCTTAAATAGTGAAATATGCTTGAGTATTCCTTCACAAGTATAAGTGTTAACGAATTTATGATATGTTTACTTATGCATAATCAGAATGAGTATAAATCAGAGTGGGTAGGATTCAGAATGAGGAATCGGAATCAGAATAAGCTGTTTACTTAGTGATAAGATTCGGAATCAGAGTCATTCTAAATTTCATTCATACGTTTACTTATACTCAGAATCGGAATGAAAAAGTGTAAAAGTACTAATATACCCTTTAAATCAATTTGATATTTTTCAATTTAAAAAATATATTGTGTACTTATTATATTAAAACTAATCATAATTAAAATATTTAGTGTAATAATTGGGTACTAAAACAATAAATATAAATTGTACAACTATTTAAAATATAAAAATAAATTTTAAATAAACTTACATAAAATAAAAAAATAAAAAATAGTGTTAAAAAATAAAATATATTATTAATTTATTAAAAAATAAAGTACATATTTATTATATTAAAGTTAAAATTAATTATGCTAATATTATAACATTAGGCAAATAAAATAATAAATATATGTTGCATTTATTATTTTTTGAATTTTATTTTTAATTGTGTATTTATAAGTAAAATAAGGGTATGATAGTAAATTAATATTAATATTAGGAATGAGAGTCTCAATCCCAAAGGGGGCATGTGAGTGCCAATCCTATTCTTTAATCCCAAATTTAAGTGGGGCCCATCAATCTCACTCCCATTTCAAGATAAAAAAGAGCAAGTAAATATGAGATTGATTCTCATTCTTCACTCTCATTCTTTAATCCTGATAAGTAAACATGCCATTAAGTTGGGATAAACTTTTTTTATTAGTTGCATTCAAATCTTAGTTGATTGTTGAAGACAAATGGTGATCAAATGAGAATATGAAGGCCATGAAAGAAATTCACCACAAGGGGACAAGTATCCCAACATTTAAAGACAACTTTTTACACGATCAATTTCCACTTTATTCAATCATACAATTAGCAGCCAAGCTAGATTCCAAATGGGATAATGCAATTTGGATGGAATGTCATGCCCGAAGATATCTATAGAGAAAAGGCACTAGGAAACCGATCCATGAAATTGGTTTTCATTTTTTTTTTCTTTAGAAATGTTAGTCCATAAATTATTAGTACTGTGACGCTTTAACCACAAAATTTTTAATTTGATAAAAGTTTTTAATTTTAATAAATTACTCAAATTTTTAATTTTTGATAATTTTGTAGCCTAATACTAAAATTGATCAAAGATTTTTTGAAATTTAAAAAAGATAATCATGTCTGCATAATATAATAACTTCAAATTTACAGAAATAATTATATTATGTGTAAAATGTTATTTTCACTATTCTGAAGGCTCCGTTTGGTTGGAGAATAGAGAGTGAGAACGATGTAGAGAGTTGGAGGATGGAGAGTTAGAAGAATAGAGAAAATTATAGTAATCTTTCATGTTATTTAGTAGGATGGAGGGAGAGTTGAAATGATAGATTATAATTATTTGTTAAATTACTATATTGTCTATCTAACTATTTGTTAATAATTTATTTAGGGAGTAAAACTGTCTTTTACAGTTTAAAATTGATGGATTGTTTAGATCATTTCATTGATGGAAGGATCTAATTTGGTGGGCCATGAGAAAGACCACATCCTTCTTCCTCTCCTCTCTTTCCAACCAAACAAGAGATTATACCTCTTCCTCCAACCAGACATACTCTAGAACTCATTGAGACGTACGAAAAGATACCAATATCTTTACCCATAAAGTCACAGTTTAATGACTAATACAAACCATCTCTTGCTAGCGAAATAGAAGACATAACAATTTTAACTGAATAAAACACCCAACTTTATCCTCTTTGTTGGGCTGTATTTTTAGAAGCATTAAAGCCGTAAAAAATTTAGAGTCTAAAATTTGCTAGAGCCCAAGCTCCCGAGCCCCAACTCTCCCGAGTCCCAAGCACTCCCGAACCGAAAGTTCAAAGGTCGCATAATGTCATCAAGAGTAGTAACCGATGACAATTGAAAACATTAAATCATTGAAAATTAATTCGAATTGATTAGTTTATCAATTTTAACACTAGAGAGGTGAAGAGCCTCATTGTAATAAGGACATAATAAAATCTCAAATTAAAGGGAGAATTAAACTTCCTAATCCCAATGTAATATAAATTCCCTTGATTTGATAGAAAAAGACACATACTCATTATTGCATACAATTATCTTGAGATTCTCTTTATTTTGTTCTTGTTATTTTTCTGAGGTGATTTGTGTTCTTTGAGTGTTTATCCAATTTTTTTAGGCTATTACTCCTTTCAATCTAAACTTTCACGAAAGTTTGCTCCAACCCTCTTGATTGCATATCAGTGTAGACTATTATCTTTAAATTCATGTCTTTCGCATATTCTACACCTTATATGTAAGATTTAAAAACTTAAAACGATAATCTTAGACGTCCATTTTGCTTAAATATACATTAAACTAATAATAATATAAAAAGGACAATACTGATATATGAAATAAATAAATAACCTTTATTGATATCAAACTGTCTCAAAAATCATTATTCAATTTATTTCTAAGGGCATAATTTTTAACAGGTGGGAGGTGGTAATGAGATTTGCGATCTCAATTTTTTTTAACAGGAATATCTATATTGTTTTTGGGAATATGATACATTTAAAAGGTTTTAATTTGTCAAGAGAACAAAAGTTTTCAAAATATACTATATGTTTCAAAAATTATTAATATCTAATTTTTTAAAGAACTTTATTAATTTCAAATTAAGTAGAGAAGTAAATGAAAAATTTATAAATTTTGTTTTATTGTTTGTTTTATTGCTTATCATATTAACTAAAAATTCAAATCTATGTTAAAAATATGAACTAAGAGGGATGGGTAGAAGAATAATTGTGAACCAATTTGTTTAACAACAAGTGTTGTGCGTGTGACATGTGTCTATTTATTAGAAATCTAAATTAAAAAAAAAGTTATTGAGTGAATGTTATGTTTTAAAAATTACTGGGTAAAGTTTTACGAAAGTCATACTTTATAGGAAATATTTGTAATTAAGTCTAACTATTTATATACGACTCAATTTTCTTTCTTTTTTCTTTAAAATTTCAAACCCACTAAAATAAATTAAAATTACAATATGCTTTATTTATTTATTTATTTTTGAAAGTGAATATGAGAATTGCATTAAACAGAAGTCATATCGGCACTTACAATACTCTTAATACAAGAAGGGAAATCTTCAAGCCAATAAAAATCTTCATCTACAGTGCCACCACCAAATAGGTGGATATCAAATAGGTGTAGACAACAGATATCTAATATCTGCTAAAAATATAGTTTCTTCCACAGCCAAATAGGTGGATCCATAACATATATAGCAATAGAAGAAGAATGAGTTTTAATCAAAGAAACACAGAGGCTGCTAAGCACTTAGCGGCTATGACACTGAACTTTCCATCCAGTTTCTTTGCAAAGGCTCCCAAAACGAAGCCAGACGAGTCATGCACAAGTCCTCCAACACCGACAAAATCCAATTGGGGAAGCACTGAAGCATCAACATTGAGCAACCAACCGGCTGCGTCTTCCAAGGCTGCAGTGCTCAAACGACATTTCCCTTCAAAAGTAACAAATTCCAATCAAATTCCAATCACTTTGTTACTTATGTCAACGTGTCCTTGAACTTTAAAATGTGCGTGTTGTGCTCTCTAAACTATAACTTGTCTTTAATTTTGCCCTTACGTCTGATTCCATCAAGTTTTTTTAACGGAAATATTTATAAATCCTCCCTTAATTTTGTCACTTGTGTCAACATGCCCTATAAACTTTAAGATTGTGCCTCCTGAACTATAATACGTCTCCAACTTTTCTCCCTTCATATGGACTCTATAAATTTTTTAACGAAAATATTGATATGGCTATTAAATTATAAATTAGGTATAATATTTGAGATTTATTGAATATCTTTCCCTCTAAAAATATTAGTTAGACATCAATTCTCAAAATATTAGTTTGTTAGAGGCAATAAAGAGAGGAAACGAATGATGAGCAAATCTGTACAATGTAATCGGTTTTGTTAGTTTTTTGGTGTTTTTTTTTTTTTATTATTAAGTGCTCAACCTAAAACATGTATATATAACGAGATATATATATATATATATATATAATATTTCTATATTTAAACACGTTTATATTATTATATCCTATCCTACGAAATAAATGGGGCAGTAAAGTAAAAAGAAGGTTAAATAATTAATCATATCCTTCCCCTTTATCTCCCTTCTTTTTTTTCTTTTTTCTCTTTTTCCTTTTTATAACATGAGAGAAATTGGTAGTTACCAGGAAGTAAAGACATATGAAGTAACCAGCCTAGACTCAAAGGAGAAGCAAAATGATAACCAAAAAAAGCTCCACTATATCACTTATCTTTGTTAAAGTTACTTTTTGGTCTAGCATTACACTTTCTGCTAAGCACAGGATATCCACCAACAAATGTACCAAGTTCGTTCACATTATGACACTTTATAAAAGTTCTTTTTTGCTCAAACACCTCTATTTAATCTCTTTGAAAGTTTTCACAATTGCTGGTAAAATAAATGTAACAAATAGAGTTATCTAGACATTTATTTCATCTTCACAGCATTCAAATGGAGCTAACTCCAGCTGAGACACACAACAAGGTACCAATATTTGGCGATGCAACAGATTCCATTGCGGAGGAAGATGAGGAATTGGCTCAGTTGCAGTGGGCCGCCATTGAAAGACTACCAACTTTCAAAAGGCTCCGAACATCGCTGTTCGACATCGATCGCAACGACGAAGGGAATTGCGGGAAAGAGAAGAGGGTGGTGGATGTTACAAAGCTTGAAGCAGTTGAGAGGCATCTTTTCATAGATAAGCTCATCAAGCACATTGAGCATGACAATCTTACGTTGCTACAAAAGCTTAGAGAGAGGACAGAGAGGTAACAATCAAGAACAGCCTATGCGGGAGATAAATATAATGAGATATATTAAAGTAGTGATTAATTTCCTATTTATTTTATTATTTTAATTAGAATTTGACTAAGTTTCCAAAAAAACAAAAAACAAAAAAACTAATCAATAAGCTTCCCTTTAGTATTATTTGAATAGTTTCCATTATTTTCTTTTCTTTTCTGTGAATAAGCCTAGTGATTGTTATCTCAAGGAATATAATTACTCATATTGCATATCGATATATTTTCTTTTTTCCAGATAAAGCATCTTTCATCTTTGTATGGTCGTCTATGGATATCTACACGTTGAGTTTTATGCATTTCTTAGGCTTTTTCTTCCCTCCCTTAGGAGGGACCATCCCCCAACTTACGAAAATGTAATATGATAATTTCTGAATGTAACATTGACGTTAGAGAAAAGTAACATAGTGTTTAGATAACTAAATTCTTTGGTGTTACTTCTCTCTAATATCGATGTTACGTTTTTATAACTACGTGTTACGTTAGAGGAACCTCCCACCGGAAGGACCGAAAAAAAATCCTGCATACTAAAATATGTTTTTACTTAATTATTTATTTATGTTTGAAGAGTGAATGTGAAACTACCAACTGTTGAAGTGAGGTACAAAAATCTGTCTGTCGAGGCAGAGTGTGAAGTGGTTTCAGGAAAGCCTCTGCCAACATTGTGGAACTCTTTTGTCAGCATGTTATTAGTAAGTATGTTTTGAAAAAAAAAAAAAAAAAAAAACCACTTTCTTAACCACATAATCAATCCTAATTTCTATGTCATAGAAGTAACTTAACATGGGTATGACCTTAAACAGGTTTTCACAAGGGCATTACCATGCAACTCTCAAGAAGCCCGGATATGCCTTCTTAAAGATGTTAGTGGCATCATCAAGCCGTCGAGGTAACCGGGCGGGAAATGTGTCTGTGTTTTCGATCATCAAGCCTGGTTCTCGATATGATATTCCAATCCTTATGGAAGTTTGTTTGTTTGTTTATTTATTTATTTTTGGATGGATGCAGGCTTACTTTACTTCTTGGTCCACCAGGCTGTGGCAAAACAACCTTCTTATTGGCTCTGGCAGGAAAACTAGACAAGTCTCTTAAGGTTAGTAAGTTAAAACTCTACATATGTTTTAGGGGAGAAAAAAGGGTGTGCGCCCCAAAAATGAATTGTATGTTGCTAGGCCACTGCCAGAATTAAATGAAATGTATAATGCAAATTCAATGATGCCTTTCCAGATTAGTGGAGAGATATCTTACAATGGTTATAAGCTGGAAGAGTTTGTACCTCAAAAGACCTCAGCTTACATTAGCCAGCGTGACCAGCACATACCCGAGATGACTGTAAGGGAGACGATCGACTATTCAGCGCGCTGCCAGGGTGTTGGAAGCCGATCTGGTGATTTTTTACAATTCCTTTTGCAATCAAATTGTCGGGGTGATTTTACAACTTAACAGCATAGGTTGAACATCAGTTTTGGTTTGGATATGCAGAGACAATAATGGAAGTAAGCAGAAGAGAGAAGGAATTAGGAATTGTCCCTGATCCAGACATTGACACTTACATGAAAGTAATTTAACAAGAACTTAAAATCTCACCTTTAGTAACTTTGTTAAAGCAACCAATTTTTGTATAGTTTACAGAACAATGTGATTGTTACAGGCAATTTCAGTTGAAGGACAAAGGAGAAATCTCCAAACGGACTATCTTTTAAAGGTAACTTAATTCTGTAGAAGCAATGGTGACTGGATTAGTGTAGGCAATGTTTTTGACATGTACAACGCATTCTTTTTTCGTGTTAGATCCTCGGACTGGATATCTGTAGCGACGTAATGGTTGGAGATGCGTTGAAGAGAGGCATTTCAGGTGGTCAGAAGAAAAGGCTCACAACAGGTAGTAAATATGAATCTGTAATAACAGCAATCTAGTTTCTGGTAGCAAAAGAATGCGCTCAAGGGATGTAGAGATAGTTTTATGTTGCAATTTCTGTGCTTTTAGAAGAAGTGACACTTTTTACTTATAGCAAAAGTAGAAGCAGAAACGTAAGTCAACAGCTAACAAATCCAGCTTCTCAAAAATATAACTATAACGGTGCATTAGTGTGTATTTTCATGCATTAGAAATCCAACAAAGACTTTATTACCAAATAATACAATCGGTTGTTTCCTTTTGCTAGGAGAGATGATTGTTGGTCCGACAAAGACTCTATTTATGGATGAAATATCGACGGGGTTAGACAGCTCGACCACCTTTCAAATAGTCACATGTCTTCAGCATTTTGTGCACATCACAGATGCCACCATATTGGTCTCACTTCTTCAGCCAGCTCCAGAGACCTTTGATTTATTTGATGATGTCATATTAATGGCTGAGGGGAAGATAGTGTACCATGGTCCTCGCGCTAATGTGCTCGAGTTTTTTGAAGATTGCGGTTTCAAGTGCCCACCAAGAAAGGGTGCCGCAGATTTTCTTCAGGAGGTGCGCACGAAGATAGTATACCATGTCATTGTTTTTCATTATGTCATTGTTTAATCCCATTTTTCTGCAAAAAAGATGAAAAAAAAAAATTAAAACGTCATGTTTTAGTCTACAAAATTTTGGCAAGTGTTCATGATGCTAGGAGGCACCAATGGTGCTTAGCACTTCAGAGTAATAGATGGTGGGACCCATGACATAGGGCTCACAACTGAGACTCACCTTTTATTAGTTGTACTACTTAGGTTCTCCTAAGCATTTTTCAAATCCCTCAAAACTTCTCTAGGATTACTCATTCCCTCCTCCTATTTTTCAGGTAATCTCCAAGAAAGATCAAGCACAATATTGGTGCCTCACTGATCTTCCCTACAACTACATTTCAGTGGATCAATTCTCTCAGAAGTTCAGAGCAAGTTATTTCGGGAAGGCATTGAACAATGAGCTCTCAAAAGCATATGATAAATCCCACAGCCACAAAAGTGCCTTATCATTTAGTACCTACTCGGTGCGAAAACGGGAACTCCTGAAAGCTTGCATGGCGAGAGAGCTGCTTCTCATGAAACGCAACGCGTTTGTCTATATTTTCAAAACAGCACAGGTATTAATTTGTTCTTCATGTCACAACTGCTAGAGTCTGCAGTTTAGTTTTATCATAAAATCCTAACAACTTTCCATGGCTCTTTCCCTCTATCAGCTTATCATCACTGCATTTATGACAATGACTGTGTTCATACGTACTGAGATGGCGGTTGATGTGGTGAGTGCAAACTATCTGATGGGATCGTTGTATTATGCACTTGTAAGACTCATGACCAATGGAGTGGCAGAGCTGGCCTTGACTATTACTAGACTTCCTGTAGTTGACAAGCAAAAAGCATTCTATTTATACCCAGCATGGGCTTATTCTATTCCAGCCTCCATCTTGAAGATCCCATTTTCAGTGATTGATTCTTTGCTATGGACATCCTTAACTTACTATGTCATTGGATATAGCCCTGAAATAGAAAGGTATGTAATTCGATTATATCAGGGTTGATATACCAAGAAAGTTATTATCATGAATAACATGAATGCATATAATGTCAAAATTCCGAAACTACCGTTTTGTTATAGCTTTTCTTTTAACCCTAACGAGTGATAGTGAAATTACTGTTTTCTCATAGCTTTCTTTTGTTTATTCTAACAAGTTATACTTTACTTTCACAATGTGTTATGAAACTGTTTTATTATTTTCTTTTTTTCCCCATGATGTGTATCATTTTCCTTGTTTATAATGTAGTGCCACATGTAGTGTTAGCTATACGACGTTGTGTCTTTGTTTCATATTCTGCCAATAAGTTTTTCAGGTTCTTCCGCCAGTTCCTTGCGCTATTTGCTGTGCACCTAGCATCAACATCCATGTGTCGTTTCGTTGCGTCAATTTTCCGGACTATGGTGGCCGCATCGACTTTTGGCTTCTTGGCTTTGATTCTTATGTTCATGTTAAGCGGGTTCATTCTTCCGCTGCGTAAGTCAAATGATCCTAGTTCACTTGCTCTGGTCCATAAAGGGATTTAAACAGGACAATCAACAAATATTTGTTTGGTTGCAGCCGCTTTACCTCCTTGGCTTAGGTGGGGATTCTGGTGTTCTTTCATGACTTATGGAGAAATAAGCTTAACTCTGAACGAATTCCTTGCTCCACGCTGGCAAAAGGTTTAGTCTTCTTCTAAATGAGATAGTTAGATATAAGTTCTTGTTAATTCTCAAAAAGACTTAAGTGTTAATAATTATCTCAACTTCATTCTCATTTTTGTAGGTCTCAAGAGGAAATGTCACAATTGGGAAGGATGTTCTAACTAGTCATGGTCTAGACTTTGATGGCAGTTTCTACTGGATATCATTGGGTGCATTGTTTCTTTACACAATACTTTTCGATCTCGGATTTGTCTTAGCACTTACTTACTTGAAACGTAAGTTAAATTCTAGTTGGTGTTAGACAAATTGTATAAGCTAATATAAAACATGTATTTGTCTGCTATTGACCTGTTAAAATCTTGTGAACACAGCTACAAACATGTCCCGAGCCATCGTTTCGAAGAAGAAGCTGTCTCAACTGCGAGCACAAGATGGTTACAGTGCTAGTGCGGGGATACAAAAGGAATCAAGTCCTGCGGTTGTTGTTTCTCAGACCACGGAAACAATAAGAAAAGAGGGTGAGACAAATGTTTCCGAGTTCTAAAATACAATCTGATGATAAAACATGAGTTACAAATTGTTCTAAGAGTGTGCAATTGTAATTATACAGGAAGGCTGGTCCTACCATTTGAGCCACTGGCAATCTCATTTAAGGACGTGCAATATTACGTTGATACCCCAATGGTAATCAAAATCATATGTGAACAAACTGTTAGCTTACCATTTATCTTTTTATTTTTTATTTTTTTATTTTTTTATACGGTGCTTCTATTTTACTAACAAGAAATGAAACCATCAAAATTCGAACCAATAGACACACGCACACACTCACGGACCTAACCACTTGAGCTCTCCTCAATTGGCTTACCATTTATCCAAAGCTCTCCTCAAAACTCTCCATCGAGTAGGGGCTTAAAGATTATTTGGAAAGATACCAAAAAAAAAAAAAAAACTGTGAATATTTAATTATGAGCTGAAAACATATTAAAGGACCTACATGTGTGACAATTTTAGAGATGCAATTACAAAGGTATTGAGTTCAGAACCTTTTGCTTTGACACCATATTACTTTACAATTTTTCCCAAAAGCTTAAGGTATTAGAAGGTAGTCTAATGCTAGTTTTTATGTTCTAACAAAAATTCTCATTCCGGCATCATTTAGCAACCACTCAGTTGCGTATTTACAAATCATGTTCCTTGTGGATAGGAAATGAGGAAGCATGGTTTCAATGAGAAAAGACTTCAGTTGCTTTGTGGCATAACAGGAGCGTTTAGGCCGGGGATTCTTACGGCGCTGATGGGTGTTAGTGGGGCTGGGAAAACTACTCTCATGGATGTTCTTTCTGGAAGGAAGACCCAAGGTACAATTGAAGGTGATATAAGAATATCTGGATATCCCAAGGTCCAGAAGACATTTGCAAGAATATCAGGTTACTGTGAGCAGACTGATATACATTCTCCACATGTTACGGTAGAAGAATCAGTTATCTACTCAGCTTGGTTGAGGTTGCCACCTGAAATTGATCCACAAACAAAATCGGTATGTAACTCTGTCCTCTCCTATATTGCTAAGAATAATACTATAAGTCACAACTTTCATCCCAACTTTTTAATACTAACTGACATTGCTTGTGAAGTGTTATTTTTTTATTGGTACGTATAAAAAAAAAATCCCCGTCAATCGGTATTAAAAATTGTATGATAACTCACATGCCGCATAAATCGGTGTCAAAAGTTAGCAGTCGAGCCTGTGCACCAAGCATTACTCTACTACTGATGAATGACACCATTCTCTATTATTTCTCAATGTACATCAAATTTCTGCAATTCACTAACTCATTAAGTTTCGACCATATTGCAGAGATTTGTGGAAGAAGTGATTGAAACAATTGAGCTGGAAGATATAAGAGATTCCATAGTTGGCATAGCAGGCCAAAGTGGGCTATCAACTGAGCAGAGGAAAAGGCTAACAATAGCAGTGGAGCTTGTTTCGAATCCATCGATAATATTTATGGATGAACCAACCTCAGGATTAGATGCGAGAGCAGCTGCAATTGTGATGCGCGCAGTGAAGAATGTTGTGGCCACCGGAAGGACTACTGTTTGCACCATCCACCAACCAAGCATCCACATATTTGAGGCTTTTGATGAGGTTCTATAACTACTATTTATATGTGTGTATTAAAATGTTAAATCTACTAATAAAAGAGATGGCAACTCGTTTATCGCACATGAGTTGGTATTAAAAAGTTAGAATACTTTGCATCATTATATATTTTTTCTATAATTATACTAACAAAAATTTAACGGCTGAGAGTGAGTTCCAATATTAATCTTGTGCAGTTAATTCTGATGAAAAGGGGAGGACAGATAATATATTCTGGAATGCTAGGCCATCATTCAAGTAAACTCATTGAATACTTTGAGGTGAACTAATAATGTCTACTCGTTTCGTTTTCTTTAATTAATATAAGCATAAACCCATGCATATTATTGATACCACATTAAAAACAGGGTATTCCAGGTGTGCCAAAGATTAAGGACAATTATAATCCAGCAACTTGGATGTTGGAAGTTTCTTCTGCCTCAGTAGAAGAAGAAATTGGCATAGATTTTGCCACCATATATAAGGAGTCGTCTTTGTATAGGTGGGTTTGAGTTTTATGCTCATTTGTGTTACATGTCTGATCTAATCAAAGACTAAGGGCCTTCACATGATTTTCCGAAAATAGTTTCCAGCTTAATTTCGAACAGAATTGTGTAGAAAAGTGAAATCTATATAGCCGAAAGCCTTTGTTTTGAATGTTAAATTTGTATATATACTTTTTATATTTTTGATGTGATTCTGATCAAATCTAACGTTCAGAAACATGTACTACTATGACTGTATAAAGCTTCCAAAACATATTAGTAGTAGTATGTCAAATGGGTCCTAAAATCAAGAACAATGCTATAATGCATCGGTTGTACTGAGCACTACATACTAATAGATAGTGAATTCCGCAGCATAAAGCTCATATTCTATTAGTTGTAGTGATTAACATTAGTGGAAGCCTCAAATATTTTCTACAAATATAATGCTGAGGTTTTAGGTCTAAGATCGATCACAAAGTACATAATTTTGTGTTGGACATATGATATGCAGAGACACAGTGGAGATGGTGAAGCAGTTGAGCAAACCAAAGGCAGGTTCAAGAGACTTACACTTCCCCACTGATTTCCCACAAAACAGTTGGTTGCAATTCATGGCTTGTCTTTGGAAACAGCACTTGTCCTATTGGAGAAGTCCTCAGTACAACCTGGCACGTTTCACTTTCATGATTGTTGCTTCTGTGTTGTTCGCAATTATCTTTTGGCAAAAAGGACAACAAATGTAAGTTCCTACACACGTTGCACTGTGCTTTTTTAACGCATAATTTTATGGTAGGGTATTAAAAAAAACATTAAATTAACTCTATATATATATATATATATTCTAATTTGATTGAATCTGCTGTAACATCACATATTCAGAGCTTCTGTTTAATTTTTAATATCTTAATTGATGTCTAATTATATTATGTCACATCATCCAATGATAAACATAAAAAAATTGAGATTCAACGTTCAACTTATAGTGCTCCAATTAATGTATCAATCAAATCATATCACATCATTTTCTGATAAGCATAAAAAAGTTATCTAAAAAGTAGTGTAATTTTTTTACAGGATTGAGACATGAAAGTTAGATAGAAGATCTGAGTCTGCACAAAAGAATTAGTTAAAAAAACAGTTCAAATTTTTTATAACTTGACATGATATGATTGATTAGACACTATTATGACACTAAAATAAGACAGGAGATTTGAGTCCTAATTTGACAGTCAAAAAAAGACATAATTCCGGAATCGTTACTATCCTAGAATCTCTGTTTGAAAAAAATAAAAAAAAAATAATAATAATAACAGTTCTAAGAAAACTAGTTTTAAGGTTTTTTTTTTCTCTTTGTTTTTTCTTTACAGTAACAATGAGCAGGACTTGTTCAACATACTTGGGTCGATGTATATTGCTGTAATATTCTTGGGAGTAAACAATTGTTCAACAGTCTTGCCTTATGTAGCAACTGAGCGCACCGTTTTGTACCGGGAACGATTTGTGGGAATGTACTCCTCAAGGGCCTACTCCTTTGCACAGGTGAGTTTAACTTCTTTTCTTTTTCTTTTATTTTTTATTTTTTATTTTTATTTTTTATTTTTTATTTTTTTTGTGATACAATATAAGATTGAATCTGCACCTCAAATTTAACATCATTTAAAAAGATAATTCTCCTATGTTCAATTTCCAAGTGGGCATATGAGTACAATATGTTTTTGATCAATTTAAAACGTAATATATCACATGTCAAATTTTAACCTTTGGTTGTTATTGATTAATGTGTTGACCTATTTTTCACCTAATAATTACGACTCTATAACATTTTACTAATGTTTGAAATTTAAAATTTTACTTTTACATATTCCAAAGCTGAAATTTTTGTAAGAAAAAAGTAGACAAAGCATTATATATAGCACTGTCATGATTGGAGTACAAAGTAGAACAATATTTCAAATACACTAATGTTTTTTTTTTTTCCACTTGTTTATGCCAAATACATCCCTGACATTTACAGTGTATTTGGGAGGATGAAAAAGAGAGAAGAAAGAAAATCGATAAAGGATTTTAGAGAGGAAAATGAAATTTTAGTTTGTTTGGTAAAGAGGAAATGAGAAAGGAAGAAAAATAAAAATCTATGTGGCCCACTAATTTTTAATCCTTCCAACTTTGAGAAAAAAAAATGAGAGAAAAAATTAGACAAACAAATGAGGTGTAAAATAATAATTTTAACATTCACTATTCATTATATTTTTATTTGTATTGAAGTATTATTGTAAAATGTCCTAGATTTGATATTTTCTTTTCACTTTTCCTTCTCTTCTATCAAACAAAATGAGAGAAAATCATTTTACTTCATTCACCTATGCATTTCACTTTTCTTTCCTTTCTCTTTTCTATCTATCCTACCAAACATACCATTATATTGGAGATGATAAAAATTTGTTGATGGTGTTTTTGATGAATGTTGTAGGTGGCTATTGAAATACCATACGTACTTGTGGAAGCAATTTTGTACGTAGCAATAACGTATCCAACAATAGGATACCAATGGTCAGCTAACAAGGTGTTTTGGTACTTGTACACAACATTCTGTACATTCCTATACTTTGTGTATCTTGGGATGCTGATAGTTTCCTTGAGCCCTAATCTTGAAGTGGCCACCATACTGTCAAGTGCAATCTACACCATATTAAATCTTTTCTCAGGCTTCCTCATGCCAGGACCTGTAAGTATTAGTAGCTCTCAGTATCTTTTCTTTTTCTGTTTTTTTTGTTTTTTAAAATCTCATTTTTTGTTATGATTCTGATATGTTTTAGAATTCATATATTGCAAGAAAATAATAATAATAATAATAATCGTCACATTATCTAAACAAATTAAAAAAAAGAAAAAAAACAAGGGAAGAAAAACTGAAAAGGATAGATTTTGGTGATTTACAGTGCCATTTTGTTTTTTGTTTTTTTGTTTTTTTTTTTTTATTAATCTAGCATATCAAGAGAAAAAAAAATTTCGGAAATATATGAGAGAATTAGTAATAAAAAAAAAAGGCTGGACAAAGTTTTCTTTTTTCTTTTTCTTTTTTTTTTTTAAAAAATCTTTCGTAGATGACTATTAGTGTTCTATATATTTTGCCAACAGTTATTAGTCAGATAAAATGTTCATAATTGTTTATTCCTTTGAGCACATAGGACCATCTTTTCACATACGTTAAATTTCAGAATTCTTCGTCCATTACAGTCTCAGGGACTAAAACTGTCAAGAAAAATGAAAATTATAAGACTAATATGACAAAATTAAAAATTAAAATATCAATATGCTCAAAATTTAGGGACTACTAATACCTATTATACTCTCAACACGCGCTCATAGGCTAACAAAACGTGCGATGGTTAAATTCATATAAATTCATCTTAAAGGTATGAATTGTAAGTAATATGAGGTTCTCATGGGTTATTTATTCTATCGAGTTTTTACAATTTTTTTGACTAGAGGGCCAAACAAGTGACAAGGAGCTTAGTTTAGGGTGAAATTTATAACGTTTTAAAGTTCAAAGGTTAAAATAGGACAAAAACATAGTTCAAGGGCTAAAACTGTTATAAGATGAAGAATTCAATAGAACTAAGTTGTTTTCCGCCTTTACCATTTAATTTTTAAACTATAGACGTTGTTATGCTTATGTACATATTTCTAAAACATGTCAAATATTTTTGTGTAGTATTTTCAAATAAAGCTTGTTTAAGTGATGTAGTTTTAACTTTTATGATATTTTTATTTATATGAAAGAGTGATATATTTTTAAAGCAACTATGTTCAATCTTTTTTATTTTTTCTTAAGATATATATGTATATGTATGTATATTTTTATCTTATATGTGCTCAAATAACAACATGTCTACCAATCCTCATCATCTGACATCCATGCAGAAAATTCCAAAATGGTGGGTTTGGTGCTACTGGATTTGCCCAACATCTTGGTCCCTCAACGGCCTTCTGACTTCACAATATGGAGACATGGACAAAGAAATAATGATATTTGGGGAGCTCAAGTCAATTGGTTCATTTCTTGAAGATTTTTATGGTTTTCATCATGATCGCTTAGGCCTTGTGGCTATTGCGCTCGTTTCTTTCCCACTTGCTTTTGCATTTCTTTTTGCATATTGCATACACAAATTAGACTTTCAAAGGAGGTAACTGCAAGAGTACAAAGATTCTTCTCTTTTTTTTCTTCTTTTTTTTTTTTTGGGTCTGTATAGCAATAAATATAAAATATAACAAACATATAATATTATTATAATATCAAATATCAAATTATATGATAAAATAATAATATTTGAGTTATTAATATAATTATAATATTATTTATTACAATATTACTATTATATTATATTATATCATATTATTGTGTGATTATATTATATTATATATATTATATTGTAGTATTATTATATATTATATTATAAGATATAATTATGTTATAACACATAACATATTATTATACAATATTAAATAATATATTATAGTTTATAACCATATTATAAATTATATTATATTATGTCATAATTTTATATTGTTATATTATTTTAACTATATTATATTATAATAATTTATTATATATTATATTATGTTACATATTATAAGATATAACTACTCTAAAATATATTGTAATTATATTGTAATTATATTATAATATTGAAGGGTAATTATAGAAAAAAAAAAGCAAAAAAAAAAAGAGTTTGAAATAGTTATTCCTCTCATATGAGGAAATAATGATGATTTACTCAAAATAGGTGAATGCCTATTCTTTTTTAATGGCCATTCTTTTCTTATAGATCCAACCAAACATCAAATCTAAATTTCATTCCATTATATTCCTTTCCTTTCCACCCAACCAAACAGGAATTATTATAAGAATAATAATGTATTATAATTTTTTGCTAGTAAATAAAAGAAAATCAGTAGTGTCCGCACACCCTAAATAACATTATACTCATTTACCAAACCTTGATGTTAAAAAAGATATGACACCAAAATGTTTAACGGGCTATTGATACACATCTACGACAATGTTATGTTTCTTCTACATCAATGTTATGTTTTTCTATATTATACATTGCAACACAGTATGTACGTGTGGTATTATACAGACTTTGTTTAACTATGGTTAACTTGGTAACTCTCCAAATCTGCAAGGTAGGAGCCATAAATACTAGTATCGAAACAAATTTAGGACAAATCCATTAGGAATTTAGGACATAGCATCAATGTTACTCTAAAGTTCATAAGAAGAAATTATGGAGTTCTCAAGAACCCAATATTGTCAACAAATACACACTTTGGAACTTCAACATTGTTTCAAACACTCTTAATCCGCTATCAAAGTGTCACTAATACATAATAGTGACTCTCTAAACTATTAGCCAATGTTTATCATCTTCAAAGAAACCATATTTTAAAGCTCATACAACATATCTGTCAACACTAAACATACTAACCAGTGCGCTGCATATCATCTTTTCTTAAAACCATATTTCTTGCGTTCATAGAACAAATCTGTCTTGGCACTCCCTAAATTAACAATCTTGGGACATCCATCCCTATCTTTCTCCTGCTGTGTACACTCCTTGCAGTAGTAGGCATCGGAAATTCCAACGCCTCCGCAGATGACGCACCGACCCTGAAACGATCCATAGTTGCACTCGTCACAGACCCGCACAAGAGTGCATGGACGCACGTAGGAATCACAGATCACACACTTCCCGTCACACTTCTCGCAAAGTCGTCCGATGGCAATTCCTGGTTGCTTGCGGCACATGATCAGATCGGGATGATGCTTAGCCATGATTCCTGTAAAAAGTTCTCAACTCCCGAATATAACTACTATCTGCAGACACATGATTGACGAAGGAGTTAGACATGAAGAAGTCAGTAATCAAATCCTTTAAAAAAAAAGAAAAAAAAAGAGAGAGAGAAGAAGAAGAAGCTCATGAGATAATTATGAAGAACCAATTGCATCTGTGTGTGAACAGAGCACATCCTTTCTAAAGAAAAATAAAAGAGAAATGAAGCACCTCACATCCAAAGTTAGACGTATAATTGTGTCGCGTCAGAAACATATCCACCGAGAGAGAATAATATCATAACAAGAAATAACTATAACCCCGACAATAAAACTCACACAAACTTTTACAAACTGAATTAAGGAGGAGCTTTAGATAAAAAGGAACAACACAGAAAATACAAACCAAGAACTTCTAAAAAATGAAATCTATAAAACTTTCTGTGGATAATACACCTCCTCACCAACATTTGAAAGTGTCTATGGTCCTAAAAGAACCAAGAACATAAAACTTTCACATAAGACAACCAGACATAAAAACCTGCTGTAACTTTCAGTAGAAACTTATATACAACTCTTACAATTAGGCACCGACATCTAGGGGTAGCAATTCGTGCGTGTCGTATTCATGTCTTGTTAACCCCCTCAGTTGACACGATAAGACTTGACACGAACACGACTCGTTTATTATTCGTGTCAAAATACCAAACCCAAACACGACCAATTTATTAGCGGGTTGACACGACACGACTAACCCGTTTATTAAACAGGTCATAATCGTGTCGTGTCAACCTGTTCATAATTTGTCAACCCGTTCATAAAATGGGTGATAAATGGGCCGTGTCAACCTATTTCTCAACCTATTTTTCAACCCGTTTATAAAATGGATGATAAATGGGTCATGTCAACCTATTAATCAACATGTTTCTCAACTTGTTTATACTTAAAAGATCTGTTTCTCAACCTCTTTAACATGCTGAAGAGACGTTAAATAATCTAAGTAAATTAAAACAAACACATAAAACTCTCTCACATAAAACAAAATAGAAGATAATTAAAGCTAAGAATTTACTTACAATTAAGACCAAAAACTTGGACAGAACAATTAGGCACTGACATCTTCATGTTGAAGGAAAAAAAACGTTTTCTAGGCAACTCTGCTAGCAAAGCTCTTGGTATAATTTCTAGAAAAAACAAGTAGGCTATCATAAAGCGCAAGCAAACAAATCATAAATTGCGTAATTCAAGCATAAGACCAAGCAAACAAATCATATTCATTGAATATGGATGATCTTGAAGAAGAATAATCATTCACCAATAGTACCTTTTTTTAAAGGTAATATTACCCTTCGGTTTTCCTTTCAAAACAATCCTACTTGTTTTTCTAGAAATTATACCAAGAGCTCTGCGAGCAGAGTTGCATAGAAGACGTTTTTTTCTTCAATATGGAGATGTCGGTAGGGGTCGCAATTCGTGTTGACGGGTTGTGTTCGTATCGTGTTGACTCCCTCAAATGAAACAGATAGGCCTAACACGAACAAGACCCGTTTATTATTCGTGTCGAAATACAAAACCCAAACACAACCTATATATTAACGGGTTGACACGACACGACTAACCCGTTTATTAAGCAGGTCGTAATCGTGTCGTGCCAACTTGTTGATTACATGCCAACCCCATTTATAAAATGGGTCATAAGTGGATCATAAATGGGTCGTGTCAACCTGTTTATAAAACGGGTAATAAGTGGGTCGTGTCAACCTATTTGGTAACTTGTTTTTCAACCTGTTTATAAAATGGGTGATAAATGAGTAACCTATTAATCAACCTGTTTCTCAAATAACTGCAGTTGCTCATATGGCTTAATACACGTCATGAGAAATGAGCTACATAACATAATCCATAGTCTGATAGTCAACAAGGAAAATGAAAGTTATGTGAAATGTCGAGAACCAGCCCTATACAGATTACAAACACTCCAAATGCAGGTGTTCTCTAATTATCAGGTACAAGCAGCCTGGTTGGCAAACTACAGCATAAGTATTAAGAGTAACTTAACATTGCAATCTATGGAGCAAGATGGTTCTTTGCTTTTCATTTGTCTTTGATGTTGAGGAAGGCGAGATGGGACGCTCATATTTGCCGAACTATATCCAGCCAACATAATCTAGTGCAGAGCACCAAACCTATGCAGTATCCCAAACTATGCACCCACTTTATCAGATTTCAGAACACCTGAAAAATCTTTTTGATTGCTTTGTCTTGCAATTTCGAACATTAATTTGTTGAAAATACCATGCTTGCTTGTCATTGTGACCTTCTTTCTCTCTTTGGGATTGGGTTTTGTCAAATTTTATTTATTTTCCTAATCTAATTCAGGCTCTGCGGCCATACCTCTCTGATGATCATCCTCACCATCATTAAATAAAACAAAATAAAAAGATAAAAAAACTTCTATACACTTTCTTATGATCTTGTGTGTATGATACACATGAAAACTCTTGCACAAACTTCATATGCATAAATACAGTAGCATAATCAAGCACTTTTACAACCATTGTATTCACTGCGTTTTTCTTATAAACACAGATTAAACCACAGATCAAACCATAAACAAAAAATCATAAATCCAAACCATAAACAAAGATCAAATCATCAACACGAAAAGAAGTAAAAACCACAAAGATAGATCAAATCATCAAAACGAAAAAAAAAACAAACAAAAAATGGATTTGCCGAAATACCTGAAAGTTTGAAACGGAGCTGCCGAATAAAGGTATGGCCGCAGGTGTGGGTGACTTCTGAGAGAAAGAGAGGGTCACCGTGAAGAGAATGGACGGCGGTGGAGAGAAGAGAAAGAGCGGCGGTAGAAAGAAGAGAATGAACGGGCAAGCGATGGTGGAGAAAGTGAAAAAAATGAGAAGGTATGGCCGCAAGGGTGGGTGACTTCTGAGAGAACGAGAGGGTCACCGTGAAGAGAAGGAACGGCGGTGGAGAGAAGACAAGGGGAGGCGGTGGAGACGGCGGTGGAGAGAAGACAAGGCGCGGCGGTGGAGAGAAGAGAATGAGCAACCGCGGTGGAGAGAGTGAAAATAATGGGAACTGGGAAGAGGAAAACCTAGCTAACAGAGATGATGAATAATGTGTATTCCGTATTCTTTCCGTTATTTTAAAATTTAGAATTTGAATTTTGTTAAAAGCTCTTAAAAATAATCATATTTAATTTTTTATTATAGTAAAAATTTTTCACACAACATCACATCTTAACTCAAATTAAAAATTCAAATTAACGAACCAAACGGGACAATATACTTTTAGTTAGTCTATTACTTTATTAATATTTTTAAAAAATATATATATTTGTAAAAAAATGGGTAATAAATAGGTTGTAATTAGGTTATATATTTGTGTTACTCAAATATGACACGTTTAATAAACATGTTATGACAGATCAGTTACGGATTGACGGGTCAACTTGAAAACGACACGCTATTTAATCGTGTTTCATGGGTTCAACTTGATTTTGACCCATACTTATTTATGATAAACTCAATCGCGCTAACTTCGTGCGAGTTTTAAGTCATGTCATCGTATCGTTGTCCGGATTGCCAGCCCTAATTGTTCTACTCTAAATTTTTGGTCTTAATTGTAAACACACCCTAAGTTGTTTTCCGCATTTACCATCCATTCACTTCACCAATTCGAGTTTTGCTACAGTAAAAAGTTTTCATAAACAGTCACATCTAATTTTTTTATTACAATAAAAAACTCTCACATAAAATCACATCTTAACTCGAATTATAAACTCGAATCAGTTAAGTAAACGGGCCCTAACTACAGACGTTGTTATGCTTATGTACATATTTCTAAAACCTGTCAAATATTTTTGTGTAGTATTTTCAAATAAAGCTTGTTTAAGTGATGTAGTTTTAACTTTTATGATATTTTTATTTATATGAAAGAGTGATATATTTTTAAAGCAACTATGTTCAATCTTTTTTATTTTTTCTTAAGATATATATGTATATGTATGTATATTTTTATCTTATATGTGCTCAAATAACAACATGTCTACCAATCCTCATCATCTGACATCCATGCAGAAAATTCCAAAATGGTGGGTTTGGTGCTACTGGATTTGCCCAACATCTTGGTCCCTCAATGGCCTTCTGACTTCACAATATGGAGACATGGACAAAGAAATAATGATATTTGGGGAGCTCAAGTCAGTTGGTTCATTTCTTGAAGACTTTTATGGTTTTCATCATGATCGCTTAGGCCTTGTGTCTATTGCGCTCATTGCTTTCCCACTTGCTTTTGCATTTCTTTTTGCATATTGCATACACAAATTAGATTTTCAAAGGAGGTAACTGCAAAAGTACAAGTTTCTTCTCTTTTTTTTCTTTTTTCTTTTTTTTTAGGTCATGTATAGCAATAAACATAAGTAAGGAACTGGAACTAGCATCCATGGCCTGCATATTCATGTTCTAATTAATTTTCAAGACATGTCAAGTCTATTATCTTCCATCAAAAGACAATTCAAAGACAATTCCAAATGACAATTGTTTGAGGTAAGTTTTTAAAATCCAGATAAGATTTCTTTTTTCTTTCAAAAAAAAAAAAAAAAAAAAACTACTCTAATAGAAATCTGGGAATCTAAACAGGAAAGAATTATGCCAATATTGGTGTTACATTAGAATACTGAACAAAGAATGCTTACTGCCCTGTTGTGAATATTGAATAACGTATATGCTTGAATGTGAATGCATCTCAAGCGTGAACAACATTTGTTATCTATCTCCTCTGAAAGTTGAGCCTACCGATACAATATGCAAAAAGAGAAGCAACTACAAGGGGAAAGACCAAAAGCATGACCGCAACAAGTCCTAAAAGGCTGTGATCATAACCAAAGTAATCTTCTAAGAAGGCTGCAGCTGTTTTCGTCTCTCCGGACGCCGAGATTTCTTTCTCTAAATCTCCATACTGAGAAGTAAGCATGCCATTCAAAGCCCATGATGTCGGACAAACATAATACAACCAAAGCCACCACTTGGGAATTTGCTGCAATAAGGAAGCAAATGAAATAACAGCTGAGTTCAACAAGGAAAGAACATTTTCTACATAATATTATATAATGATGTTAGTTTAAGCTGTTTGCAAACAAGCCAGTTTTAGTTTTAAATTCCAACTAAAGAAATGTGATTCGTAAAACTTACGGGCTTCGGTACCATAAAACCGGCGAACAAGTTGAGCATTGTGTAGGCAGATGATGCCAGGATGGAAGCCACCTGAGTATTTGGTGTTACTGACACCAGAAACATTCCAAGATAATTGAAAAATAGAAGCGTGCACAACATGCTATAGAATGACCAGAATATCTTATATGCCGAAGCGGAGTAACCAATCATCGGGTATGTGATGATTACATATATAACTGCTTGAGCAAACAGGTATGGGATCTCGACAACCACCTGCAAACAACCATTAGTCAAACATTTTAGAAGTGATTCTTTGAGGCTTTGTTTCTTCACAGAAAGAAGTCGGTCCGGCACAGTGTTTGGTTGAGTGGAAAAGTGGGAGGAAAGAAATTGGAGGCCAGATTTTGGATAAGAAAAGAGAATATTAGTTTGTTGAGAAAGAGGAGAGAAATGTCATATAAACACAGAGAACTTGAAATATGTATGTTGCCTTTAGTTACACCTCAGTTAAAAAAATCACTCGTTCTGTATGAATAAAAACACTTTCCTATTTTTTTTTTTTTTTTTCATTTTCATTTTCTTCTTTTTCTCCTTCCCTTTTGTTTTACATCCTTCTTTCCAAAATGAAATCAAGTCTACTTGAGTAGTCACATGATAAACAAATTAAGTTTCATAAAAAAAAGCAATGGGGTTGATGTTTGAACCTGAGCAAATGAATAGGCCCATGAAGAGTACATTCCCGCGAATTTTTCCCGATAGAGAACATTCCGCTCTATTCCAACAAAAGGTTGAACCATTGAGCAATTGAATATGCCAAAGAAGATTACTGCACAGAACATGGAACCAAGAATATTTAAGAGGTCTTGCTGGTTGTTTATTGTCTGCCCTTGATTCCAAAACAATACGCCGAACAATATAGAAGAGACGGTTGTATAAATAATTCGCATCAAGTTGTAAGAAGGATTTCTCCAATAGGACAAGTTCTGTTTCCACAAGCATGCTTTGAACTGTTCCCAACCGGCCTGAGGAAAGCGGGTCGGAAAATGCAAGTCTTTTGAGCCAGCAGCTGGGGAGCTCAGTTGTTTCACCAGTTCCTTGTTCTCCCTGCAGTTTGCAAGAACAAAGAATCATGTGCAAGCTAATTAAAAATAAAAATAAATATGAAACTCGCCCCATGCTATTACTTTGCACTTTTAAAATCACGTTCCTTTCATTATATGCATTGAACTATTGATTACATTCTAACTGTTGCATTAGATTTTATAATTTAACACTCCCCCTCACATATGGGCTCGACAGCGGGAAATCGTGAGGGAAAATATTAATTGTACAGGCCTAGCAGGTAAACATATCATCATAAGTCCAAAACACAATGACAACAATTTTGGAGAGTGCAATTACGAGATTTAAAGAGTGCAATTATGAGGATTTAAACTCAAAGATCACGTATGCAGATTAGGCTTTATATCCTAGCACTAGTAACTTACTCATGCAATATGGAGCCCTGGAAAATTTGTGCAAAATCTATGCCAAGTTCGGCTTCTGCAGATCTTGAAGTGACATCTAACATCCATGTTGCTGGATTATGATTGTCTCTAATTGAGGGCACCCCCGGAATGCTCTAGAAAAATGAATAGAACTGGTTTCAAGACTAAACACTGCATTGATTTATATAGTTGAGGGACAACAAAGTGATGGACAATAAAAATGATTGAACATGCACAAATTCAAAACTTGTTGAACAAACCGACCTCAAAGTACTCGATGACCCTCCTTGAATGCTTTCCTAATGAGCCGGAATATATCATGCGTCCTCCAGTTTTCATGAGAAGCAACTGCAGTGATGTTAAGACAAGCAATTTTCATTTGTGTTTGTGTACAAGAAAACATTGATATGAGAATAAAGGATGCTTCTTTTATCCAGAAAAATATTATTCAAGACCAAAAGGTGAGAAAGGAAATCTTTGGCTGGCGTTTTAAGCACTAATTACATGTGTACTTCATGCAACATGTAATTTAGAAACTCGTATGTGATGTAGAGAAACAATATACTGATGTACTGAGCATCAGTGTCTCACAGAAAGGTGTATACCAAGTTAAAATTTCTGAGTTCATCATTACTGAAAGTCATTAGAACATCCATTTTACCTCATCAAAAGCCTCAAAAATATCAATACTCGGTTGGTGGATGGTGCAAACAACAGTTCTTCCGGTTTCAACGACGTTCTTCACTGCTCTCATAACAATAGCAGCTGCCCTCGCATCTAAACCTGAAGTTGGTTCATCCATGAATATGATCGATGGATTTGCCACAAGTTCAACAGCTATTGTCAGCCGTTTTCGTTGCTCAGTCGATAAACCACTAACATTTGGCACGCCTACCAAACTATCTTTAATCACGTCAAGTTCAATAGTTTCAAGCACTTCTTTCACAAATGCCTGCCCAAAAAAAAAAAAGATGGGAAAAAGAAAGCCAAGTCAATTAATCTTGGTGTCCAAGTCCATTATTATCATGGAAATAACATGTATCCCAAGAAAAGATGTCATACAGATTTAGTGTTTGAATCAATCTCAGATGAGAGGCGCAACCAAGCAGAATAAATCACTGATTCTTCAACAGTAATGTTCGGAGAATGTATGTCGAATTGCTCGCAGTATCCTGATATCCTAGCAAAACTGTCTTGAACTTTGAGATACCCGCCAATTCTTATTTCCCCTTCAATTGTGCCACCAGTTTTCCTTCCACAAAGAACATCCATGAGAGTTGTTTTCCCTGCTCCACTGACACCCATCAATGCTGTCAGAATACCTGGTCTGAATGCACCGGTAACATCACAAAGGAGCTGCAGCTTTTTCTGTGCAAACCCCCGCTGTCTCATTTCCTGGAACCATTCCATAACAATGGCATAACTAAACCAAAACTTGATGTTTGTACTTGAAAGTAATCAGAATTTGTGTAGAACTAGTTCCAAATATCTTGGAACTTACCAATGGAGTGTCCACATAGTACTGCACATCTTGAAATGTTAAAGTTAAAGGCTCAAAAGGTAACACCATCCATCCTGGAAACAAGAAAAAGGGGTCCAATCAGCTGATATAATTTACTGAACCAATTTTCATTAGAATGATACAAGCAAAAGGGAATATCACACTGAACCACCTTTCCTTTTAGGCTCTGCCACAGTTGCAGAAGCACCCGAGGGTGCCCTCTTTGTGTCTGTATCGTCTCCGTGTTGCTTCCCTTGGAGCTGAGTGTATCTTTCATAAGAAATGAGAGCTCGAGACCTTCCTGGTGCTGAACATATATCAAAAGCCTTTAGTTGATAGTGGAATTGTACAGTTAATACAATAATTGATTATTAGGACACAATTAGTGTGTATATATTTAGTTAGGAAAGATATTGATATCACTTGAATCATAGGATTGATAGGCATAGATAGTTTCCTATTTTTGTCCTAGAGAATTCTTTATATTGACTCCTATTGCTCTGTATTGTATCATTCCAAAATTAATAAGAATTATCAGGTTTCCTCTCTTTTTCACAATATGGTATCAAAGCCAAACCAGCTCAAATGAGCAGCTCGATCCATCCAATACAAGAATGGTGACTCTAAAAGGAGCACCATCTTCCGGGGGCTTGTTAAGGGTAAGAAACCCGAGTCCCACATCAATTAAATATAACAATAATCACCTACTTATAAGGACACTGAGCCACCACACTTAACAGGTTGACCTTTTAAGATAGAAGCCCATGTCCTTAATAAGTCCAAATTTCATACCAGCGATTGGTAGAGAAACATATCTATCTTGCTCATACCCAACCGTACATTGCTTATTCAGTGAACGCTATTAGTTAGTTTATGCATGATCCGAGGGAGCACATTTACAAGCCACATATAGGGTGTTTCACTACTTGAAAGCAAGCCTAGGTACGGGAGTTTTATTCAAAAGAAATGGACTTACTTTAGAAGCTTTTACAAACGCAGATTATGCAAGAGCATTCATGTATAGAAGATCTACTTCTGGGTAATGCATATTTCACAGTGGCAATTTGGTGACATGGAAGAGCAAAAAGCAAAATGTGACAAGGTCTAGTGTTGTATCAGAGTTCAGAGCAATGGCTCAAAGAGTGTGCGAATTACTATGGCTAAAGATCATCCTAGATGACTTGAAGATCAAGTAGGAAAGACCTATGAAGCTTTATTGTGACAACAAGTCAGCAATCAACATTGCTCATAATCATGTCCAACATGAAAGAGCAAGCACATTAAGATAGACCGACACTTTATTGAGGAAAAAATAGAATGTGGTCTGATCTGCACATCGTATGTTCTTTCAGGGAGTCAACTGGCAGATGTCTTGATTAAAGGACTCAATAATACAATCTTTCATGAGATTATTTCTAAGCTGGGAATCGAAGACACCTATTCTCCAGCTTGAGGGGGAGTGTGGAAACAGCAGCTAAAATAATAACTTATTAGTAGGACATAATTAGTGTGTATATATTTAGTTAGGAAAGATATTGACATCCCTTGAATCGTGAGATTGTAGGCGTACATAGTTTCCTATTTTTGTCCTAGAGAATTCTTAATACTGACTCCTATTGCTCTGTATTGTACCATTCCAAAATTGATACGAATTATCAGCTTTCCTCTCTTTTCCACGATATTGATAAACATGAATGCTTACTAAGTTGTTGCCTAAAAGTGATTAAGACAAACTTACACTTCAAGAACGTCAAAGCCAACGTAAATCCTACATTGAAGAGTACTGTGAAACCAATTAAGGCACCAATTGAAATCCAATAAAAATAACTGTCGAAGTTTAACCCGCGGCTTTCCAGTGTTTCTCGGCCCAAAGTTGTGTTTCCGGATGCCTTCCATGAATAAGAATTAAGAGAAAGTGATCATTAGGCACAATTCTTGTAAATCAAATTAGCATTCTATTCTTGATAAAACGATGCATCTTGATGTGAAGACACATAGACAAAGGTATGAGGAGGGACCAATTATAAGTCACCTTTTGCCACCGCGGGGCCAGGAACTCGTTCACAGTAATGCCAATCTCTCCATATGCCATAGGAGAAAGCCAAAAACCCCACTCCAACCAAGCAGGCATAGAGGCTGCATACAATCAAAGCAAACCACTAACTGAAAAAACCATAAAAATAAAATTCTTTGACCTGAAAATGTTAAGAGCTAAAGGAAATCTTACACTTTGAGATGACGAAGCCACCAAATAACATGACAGTTAATATGGTCAGACTACCAGCTGTCATGGATGCAACCATAGTCCGGGAGACTGAAGCAACAAACCGAAACATAGATATTGATGCTAGGTGCATATTGAATAGTATAAGAAACTGGCGGAAGAACCTGTTGGAACAAAGAAAACATACAAAAAATATTAATCATTTTGGAAATTTCCTACAAGAATATATTTCAAAAGAGGATGGATGCTAAATAGTTATGACACATTGTTCTTCAATAACCTGAACCTTGAAAGTTAAGGTAAAATAATTTGTTTTGTCCAAAATTTCGGCTCATGGAAAAGTGAAATGAACACTCACCTTCCGGCTTCAGGACTATAACCAATCACATAGTAAGTAAGACCAGTCCAAAGAAAAGATTCCAAAAGTGAAATTGGAATCTTAAGGATGGCAGCTGGGATGGCAAAAGCCCAAGCAGGGTAAAAGCCCAACTCGATTTGTTTATAGAGTGCTACAAGTCTTGAGACGGTCAAGGAAAGTTCCGGAAATCCATCGACAAGAAGTATGACAAGCCCATAAAACAAAGCACCCATGTAGTAACTTGTATGGTGTTCATCTACAGCCATTCGAGTTCGAATGAAGACAGTCATTGCTATGGATGCAATGATGACTAGCTGCAGGAGAGAGCAAAGTTATGTCTAAGCAAAAACTAGAAAATACTTCTCCCAAGCATTCTTATCAAAGCACAAGTTACCTGTATTGATTTGAAAACATAGATAAAGGAATTCCTCTTCATTAGAAGAAATTCTCTCCTTGAACAAGCTTTCAACAGTTCCCATTTCGGTAAAGAGTATTTTTGAAAGGACAGAGCATTCTTGTGGCTTTGAGACTTATCAAACGGCTTCGAGAGCTCCTCACTTAGCTTCCTGCCACTATGACAATCCTTGAATTTCTTAACAAAATCGTCAACAGATACATATCTGTAAGGTTGTTCTGTGATGTTCCAGTATTGCGCTTGATCTTTTCTAGAGATTACCTGAAGAAGCAGATAATGTAAGATATGACAATAAAAAAGAAGACATGATATTGTTTAGAATGAGAACATCACTGATGTCCAATTACCTCCTGGAGGAAGTCAGCAGCACCTTTTCTTTCTGGACATTTAAAGCCGCAGTCTTCGAAAAATTTAAGAATATGAGTACGCGGGCCATGATACACAACTTTGCCTTCAGCCATCAAGATAACATCATCAAAGAGTTCAAATGTCTCTGGCGCAGGCTGAAGAAGGGAAATCAATGCGGTGGCTTCAGAGAGATGCACGAAATGCTGAAGACAAGAAATAATCTGGAAAGTGGTGGAACTGTCCAAGCCATTTGATATTTCATCCATGAAGAGAGCTTTTGCAGGTCCCACAATCATCTCCCCTATGGCCGCGCGAAATAAACATTCATAATCATTCTCTTATAAAGTTCCTTTAAAAGTTGTCATTGTCAACAAATTCTCCATTATGTTATGTAAACAGTACCTGTTGTCAATCTTTTCTTTTGACCTCCAGATATTCCTCTTCTTATGGGATCTCCCACCATTGTATCAGCACATATGTCAAGACCAAGGATCTACACTTAAAAATAATGGTCAACATTTTAGTTGACCAACAGTCTAAGGAAGAAAAGAAGGCACATTTTGTGGTCCATGTAACAAGAGAAATTGGAAGTCACCTTGAGAATGTAGTCTGTTTGAAGGTTACTTTTCACTCCCTCAACTGATACTGCCTGTGAATGTGATTGATGGTAGTCAAATTGGAACAGAGAAGATAAAGGTGATACACTAAAATAGAACTAATTGCTTAAGATCACTGCTATTCATCGCCGCTAGTGATGCATCACCAGACATGGTAAAAAGTATAATTACTGGATCCCACACTACTGTGGCAACGCATATGTGGTGATTGCATCAATATCGGTAATAAAAAGAATTTTTTTATTGCTTAAGACCACTGCTATTCATCGCCACTAGTGATGCATCACCAGACATGGCAAAAAGTATAATTACTGGATCCCACACTACTGTGGCAACGCATATGTGGTGATTGCATCAACATCGGTAATAAAAAGAATTTTTTTATTGCTTAAAAAGGTACCTTCATGTAAGCATCCACATCAGGATCTGGGACAATTCCTGCTTCCTTCTCCCTTCTACTGACTTCCATCATTAGATCTTCATGCATAGAAAAAGGATATCATATCGAAATCTCAATTTAGAAGTGACCCAACAAATGCCTTCTTCATTAATTTAAGATTGCTTACCAGCTCGGCCTCCCACGCCCTGACAATGCCCCGAGAAATCAAGTGTTTCTCTCACAGTCATCTCTGGAATATGCAGGTCATATTGGCTCACATAAGCCGCCGTCTTCTCAGGAACAAATTCTTCCAGCTTATAACCATTGTAAGATATTTCCCCTCTAACCTATTTTTAAAAGAAAACACACTTATAAATCACATGCAAAAAGTTTTCAACAGAACACATAAATCTCCAAAGTGTAAATCAATTAAACAAATAATCTCTCTCCACCAAACAGGATCGTTACTGAAATTTTTTCTTTTACTAATATTGGATTAAGAACTTTAGAACACACAAGCTTCCTTCTAACAATTAAAACAAGGAATCAGCCTTAAACTACTAGTGCATATTCCTTGTGTTGCATAGGATTTGAGATTAGGTGACAGATGAAAACTAAGATAGCATTCTGTTTAGTACAGCAACTTTTTTTTTCCTTGTTTTCTTTTTTTTTTTTTTGCTAAAGAAGCCTTGTTATAATTGTAAATTCCCCACTGTTTCTATGACCAAATTGAATTATTGATGGAGTAAAAGTTTTAGGAACCTTGAGAGAGTCGCTTAGCTTCCCCGAGAGCGCCTTCAGAAACGTCGTTTTACCGCATCCAGGAGGGCCAAGCAACAATGTCATCCTGCATTGAAGCAATTCCAAGTTGGTCAGGTCTAAGGACGTTTGGTTTATGTATTAGAATTATAATTCAGAATTATTCTCGCTTTATGTATATTTTTTGTGAGAGAAAACATTGTAAAAAACTATGAATCATGATTCAGAATCAGGGATGAATATAGGAAACAAACGTATGATTAGTAATCAAACACAGAGAAATTAAGATGTCATATCCTTTTTAATATTTTTCCCCCCTTTCTTCAGCTGTATGAAGTTTATCAAGATTAACTTATTTAAGGTGACAACTTTCAATATTTCTTTTCACAAAGAAAGGAGGAGAGGAAAGATTTTACCTTCCTGGCTTAATAATCCCATTGACATCTTTAAGTATGCCAATCTTTGCTTCCTGAATGTCTAAAGCTGACAGCCTAGTGATTCCCTGCCATAAACAGATAAGTCAAATGATGACTAAAGCAAAGACTCAGACACTGTCATTACCGATAACGTATAAATCATGTACAACTGAATGAACAGTACGCACGCACGCACGCACGCGCATGGGATGATTTTGAGTTCAGTTACAATTAGGAGCACGTTTGTTTGATCACATTAGACAATTATATTGTATAATAAATACATTAATACAATATTTAGTGTAACCATTGTATTATTAAACTAATACATATGATAAGTTAATATAGTTTATATCGTATTATAGAATACGGTTAATTTTTTATGTGTTGTATTGTATTATTTTATAGCGGATCCATGATCCAAGTCGGGGTTGGTCATGATTGCGGTCGAAATTTGGCCGACATAGGTTCATATTGGAACTTATAATTGTTTAAAAATTAAGAGGGCACAATGCAAATTTATATTTTCTAAAAATTACAATTTGATTCCTTAATTTTTGTAAAATTTCAATTTGATCCCAATTTTTTTTTTTAAAAATTATATTTTGACAAAATTTTTCACAAACTGTATTTTGACCCTAAAATTTTTTAAAAAATAAAATTTGAAGAAGTTCAAGATATTGTGATTACAAAGCATAGCCTAGAAGTAAGTCCACACTGCCTACAATGTTGAGATCTAGAGCTCGAAACCCTATTATTTTTAACTTTGACTCTAAAAAAGTCCTAAATATCTTTAACTTTTTTTAACTTTTGTTTTACTATTATTTTTATTTATTTTTGTGGGTCGTTTAGGTCTTTTGTGGTGGCCTTGTTCAAAGTTGACCATTGACTAAGAAAATATAAAAGTTGAGCATAAATTAGAAATTCAAAGATATAAATGTGATACATCTAAAGAACAAGGTATATTCTTTTAGATAACCTCAAAGTGCATGGTATAAAAATAAACATATAATTTTATTATATAAAAAAAAAAAAAAAAAGTAGTGCAAAGTATTGAAGTCCTTACCAAGATTGTATCTTTTAGTGTGTTCCATAGAGTGGGTAGGGGCTTTCCATGAACTATCTTGCATTCTGCCTCCACACTCAGATTCTCATATCTTACCTCTATGGTGGGCAACTTCACACCAACTCTGCATAGTAAAATTCAGACTCTGTACTAAGTAGATATAGGAAGAATATTTCCCTATATATATAGTATAGAAGATACTTCAACCTTTAACCCAATGGTTGACATTAATTAATCAATTCTTCTTTTATTTTAAATGCAATGGCTATGATTTTTCCACATAGTTTATGTATTCATTCATGCCTCACAAAGAAGTGAGAATGAAGAGAAATGAAATAGTTACTTAAATCTCTTTTCCCTACTATCATATAATATATAAAAAAAATGCTAACATCAATATTCTGTCACTCTTCTGGTCACTCCTTGCATTTATTATGTGATATATGAACTCTACGATCTCATTTTATATTTAAGTAATAATATATCATGTTAGTAGAGTTCACGTGTTAAACAGTAAATGTAAAGAGTGACATCGTCATACATATATATACATAGTTGATACGCTATTATCAGGTTTCCTTCTAAACTGCTTGGGGAACGGTTCATCACGCATATTGGAGAACTTAATAAATATGACAGATTGAATCATTAGTAAACTTAATAAGGGTCCGTTTAGTTCACTGATTTGAGTTTTTAATTCGAGTTGAGATGTGACTTTATATGAGAGCGTTTTACTGTAGTAAAAAAGTTAGATGTGACTGTTTCTAGAGCTTTTTACTGTAGCAAAACTTGAATTTTAAACTCGAATCGGTGAAATGAACGAGGTCTAAATCTTTAAGCTAAGTTTTTAAGACGATGGATTTTTTATTTAAAAATAGTAGTGTAATTTGACCTTTAATGTATTTATTCTTAAGTATGCAACTCTATTGTATGTAGATTGTGTTAACATACTTATTTATAAATTTGCAATAGGATAGCTTTTTATTGAGCCATTATCAATTATACCTGATGATCCTTGCGAAACAAAAAGCACAAAAATATATATATATATATATATATATTAAAATAGAAGCAGGAAAAAAAAAATATTTTGTTTGTGGCGCAGAACGTGCTAGGGCACGTTCCTCGAGCTAGTTTAAATATAAAATGTTATGACCGAACGTTGAAAACCCTACACCTATTTAATTTCAAACCTTTGAAGTTTAAATAAATGAATAATGTTACGCTTTTTGCGCTATGATCACGAAAAGCTAAGGTAGCCACCTATATATATGGGCCCGCTGGAATTTTGAAGTATCGAGTTTTTATACGTAACATTTTGTAAAATTTCAATGGTGTCCGTATTCAATAAAAAAGTTACAGTTTTGCTGAAAATTAAATTAAAATTACAACAAGACCCCCAATTAACAATAGATCATTTTAATCATAGTAGCTAAAAAAAAAAAATCTGGGTTTACGAACATGAAACAAGGATAAAAGTCATAATTACCTGTCGATCCTCTTCCGAAGCTTCTGTAACAACCGGAGATTATCATTTTCAATGTGTTTGATAAGCTTTTCAATGAAAATATGCCTCTCTTGAGCTCCAAGCTTGGTGACATTGATGACTCGTTTTTCATTGACGCCTTCATTTCCGTCACTAGCATCAAACAATGCTGAAGTGACCCTATCAGAAGTTGGTAATCTCTGAATAGCAGCCCATTGTAAGCTGCTACGTTCCTCAATATCGTCGTGATCATCTTCGTCGACACCGGAATCGTGATCGGCATTCACCGTTGAGCCGCTACGAAAGCTTCTGAAGGAGGATCTTATGCTCCTTCCGATCTGCTCTAACTCTATACGCAGAGATTCTATCTCGTCTGCTCCAGCCAGCTGAGCCATTTTTGACTTAATTTGTGAAGAACATACTTAATACCAAAAACTCAATATGTATATACACAAAAAAAAAAAAAAAAAAAAAAAAAAAAAAAAAAAAAAAAATTTTATTTGGGGGCTTTTTGGGGGGATAAAACAAAAAACCAAAAATGTATATACAAAAAAAAAAAAAAAAAAAAAAAAAAAAAAAACTCAATATGTCATTTGGTGACTCTTGTGAGGTAATGGAATGCGTCAGATGTTGGTAAGGCAAGGAAATGGCTGCGGAAGTTTTCCCTTTTTCGAAGGAATTCTATTTAATATCGACATGTAAATATAAAAAAAAAAAATGTATTATACTCAATCTACTCCCCAAGGCATGGTTCAATCTGCTATATAAAATAGAGTTCTTACCTGCCGTGAAGTATGCTATTTGACATCGACAATGTGTGACCGGAATAAAACAAAAAAAAAAAAAAATCATTTTCTTTTTGGTATAAATTTATGGGATTTAATTAATGGACATATTGTATGAATTCAGAGGAAAGTGAGTGTTTGACTTGGCTTCATCGTGTTGATAACAAGTTCGCAAGAGATGAGTCACAAATGGCAGGCCCTTGAGGGCTGCAGAGCATGTAACATACGACCATTTCTTTCATGTCAAGTCCAATTAAGTATAATTTCATGTTCCAAATGTTATACCATTTTCATGGAACTACTTCTTTAATTTTATCCAAAAAAAAAAAAAAAGTCAAAACAGTTATGTATGAAAGTTAAATATTCCATTGATGGAGACTCATGATCCATACAATTATTCCTCAATGTAGTTGAGTGAGAACACAAGGATGCCAAGCACGGAAGAATAGTGCCCCACTCATACTTTAAAAATTTTATGGCATTTTTAAGAATGAAAAAAATATTAGCATTTTTAATTATTTAGCATATTAATTTATTATATATATAGTTTAATTATAATTTATTCATTATTATTATATTATTTATATATTAATTTTTATTTGCTAAATAATTATTAATTACATATACTCAAACAAATATAAATATAACTAAACATGATTTTATTTTTTTATCGTACTCAAATTAATCTCTTAAAAGACCACCAAATATAATTTTAAAATTAGTTTCAGAATAATTTTAAAATAATCTCATTTTTATTTTTGTATTAAAAATAAAATTATTTTAAAAACATTACCAAACGGGATCTATATTTATTTGTTTTTCAGCTTCAAATGAGACAAAATCCACCAGTAACCTGTTGGGTAACCGGGTTTCCTTCTCTTTCTCAATCTAGCTCGCCCTCTCTTTGCTCACTCCGCTCATCTCTAATTCGAGATCCATCGTCTTCTCATTTGCAGACGGTCAACTCTGGCCGTCATTTCTATTTTTGACCGGGCCCACTTTTTTCCAATCAGTTGCCAAATACCTAATGTAACCGGTTATATGCGGATGAAATTCTCGTAACTTCGGTCATCCTAAAAGGACGCTTTTCAAACGTGGTGAGGCTGCTCTGCTCTTTTTGCCGGTGGCTCTACTTATAGGGAAAAAGTAGATGGCTTCATGGAAGAATTTAAATAAATAAAAAAATTGTAGTTGTGCAGGGTTGTACATGAATTGAGTTGGTGCGGGTAAGACATTAAGATTTTTTATTGTCTCCCATTAAAAGTGTAAATTGCACATATTTAATCTTAATAATATTAAAAAAATTTCACAACCTAATAATATTTGAATTGAATTAGAGTGAAGCAGAATGAATTAAGTAGTCAGACTCATTATTTAAACAATCAAAATTCAATCAGAAGTAAAATCTATAGTGTTGTAATTATAAACACTAGATTGCAATCTAGACATTTTAATGGAAATGGACTATAGCAATCTATATAATTAAGCACGTGTCTTAGTTTTCAGCAAGAAATTTCCTGAAGTTCAATGGAAATTTCAGCACGTATCATAGTACACTAATTGAACGCAACTGCAGAAGAGTCAACGACAAGAAGTCAGTTGAACCAAAGTAATTATTGGAATTTATATTCTAAAAGATTAATTTGTAAAAAGTTAGGCACTTTCTCTCGTTGAATTTTTTCATTAATATATAAATTTTAATTTTTAACCGTTAAATTCAGTTAAAATCACATTAAATTAAAAAAAATATACAAAATAAATAATTTCTCATATAAATTTAATATTTAACGGCTGAAGTTAAAAAATTATTGATAATTTATTTTTATGGTCTTACCGGAGAAATTCTCTAAAAATAATTAAGCTATACTGTAAAGCCATGTCCAACGTAAACATTAATGTTGATATTATATTTGGTATTAAAAAGTGTAAAATAACATATTGAATTTGCGTTTTTATTTTATACCCCCGTGCATAATGCTATTTATGCTATCTTACTTTTTGTTTGAATTATTAAGCTTTGTACAAGTACACTTTTCATTTGAAGTAACTTAAAATGATGTTAATGATTAAATGTAAAGGTGAATACATCAACCTTTAAGAATTAAATGTAAAAATTTAACATATGCTATATTTAGTGCTAAATTTAGCACTAAATAGTACTTAATTGGAGAGTGAGTCTCTTACTCAAATGTTATAATTTGGCATTAACACATTAATTTGATATTGCGTTCTTGACGCTCATGAAAGAATTTGCTTAAAAATATGTACCAGCTTATAAGACAGCCTCAAGTTTTTTGATTTGCCGCCGACTCCATTAGGATGTAAAGTGTCTACTGTTGGGAATGGTTGTTAGGAATAATGTCCTAAAAATATGAGATGTAATAGGATATTTATTATTAATTTAATAAAATAATTTATTCATTATTTTATGTGCATATATTATTGAATATTTTATGAATATCAGTGAAATTCCGTAATTATTTATGTGATCTTAAATATTGTATATAAGCATTATATGCGAGAATGTAATATTTAAGGATAATAATCAAAACGATGTTTGCAATGAATTTAATTAAAGTTTGGAATTATTAATTAAAACATTACTAATACATGTCATTCCCATTTAGAATGGAATGGTATTATCTGCATTATTAATATGGAGATATATTGAATGGATATATTGAATGAGTGTATTACACATAATGAGATCTTGTGAAACCAGGACACAGACATAATATGAATTTCTGATAATTTCCCTTAAGTATAGAAATTCTAATTGAGTCTACTGATGATTATATATATAACAATCTTAATCATGAGTTATTAACAGACTTCTATTTATGAATTATGTTTTTTGTTTTACTCAGTACGGATTCCGAGATGTTGAATCTTATTCTTTGTATTTTAGAGACATAATGAAGTGAGTAGTTGTGAATTTATTATACAAGATGGAATTCATTGCTTCTTGAGAAACAAGTAGATAAATAATTTCTTTGAGGGTTAATTCGGTGAATGGACTAGTAGTAGCTCCGATTCATAAATTTATTTTATGAATCACTGTCCATTAGAGAGTCAATGGTACTTAAAGATAAATACGTATTAGAGAGGTTAACGGATTTTACCTAGTTCTAATTATGAATTATTTATGGAGGATTTATCTATATGTAATGATTATATCAAATGGATACTTCACAGTTTAGAAGTAAATATATCTATAATTGCGAAAGTGTAATTCTAAGTTTATAGTGGAGTAACTTTTGAAATTAATAGAATTACTTAATTAATTAATTAAAGAGCTTTAATTAATTATTTATTTTATTGGAGCTCAGAATTATAGGTTCATGAATCCACACGTCGTCCTTGTAATCCTACAAGACACTAAGGGCAAAATAAGAATTTTAGAATTATAGAATTCTAAATAGAACGTTAAAGAATAATTAATTATAAATTAAAAATAATGTGATTATTTAAATTTGAATTTTGAAACACACATGTGGAGGTGTCCACATGGTGTACATGCCCAGTACAGTGTGAATCCATTTGGGATTCAGTTGCTTGTTTTTTAAGTTATCCAATTGACTTATTTAATAAGTTGTCCAATTGAAATTCAAATTAAATTAAGTTTGACTTAAATTAGAATTAGAATTTGAGTCAAAATTAGACTACAGAATAAAAGAGAATTTTGCCTCCTTCCCTATCTGCTATTTGTACCTATCACAAGGAGGAATATCCCTGCGGTGACCGGCCCTATAAGATAAAGGAGGGAGGGAGTTTTGTTTTCAAAATCAATTAAAAGTAGAAGATAATTATCAAGCTTCATCTTAAAGATAAAGTTTAGACTTTTTCTGAAAGTTTGACTACTATTTTATACGTAAGAGATAGCAGAAAATTGGAGAACACAATTTTTGCTCTCCCGAACATAGTGTGGCCGAATTTTATAGAGTGAGGAAAAGAAAAAAAAAATCTCCCAAATTTCACGTCGTGCATATGTTAGTGTTTGTGAAAAACTTGAGTGTTTTTTTTAATAATCCCGTTTTGTTTCAAGTATGTCCATACACACGTCTTTATAGATTCAATGAATTGACGAAAAAGATTCAAGTATTCGAAACTATCTTGAAGTAAGGAACATTCGAGATCACAAAAGTTAAATTATTGATCTAATCATTCGCTAAGTAAATAAATTAATTTGATTAATTTATTCGTGTATAAATTATTGTAGTCTATAAAATATCTCAAAATTTTGTAAAAGTCTTCTTACACACGATCTACTACGTACGCGCTCCCACATAGAAAATCGTTTTCAAAATCAACATCTACATCAATCATCCTTTTAGCTTTACCCAATACATCATCAGGGACTGGGAGGCCGTAAAAACCATTCTAGCTGTACTTCCCAAAGAAAAATGAAAGCGTTAAGAAGAGGAGGCGGCATTTTTCCTCATCCATGATGTGACGGAAAGGGGTCAGTAACTGAGCCAACACTTGGTGATTTCAATAAAAGAAACCAATGCTGCACTGGAAGCAAAACTTGTAAAAACCAGATCAATTTAAAGTTCTACATTAATCAACAAAGGAACCAGACTCAAAGTCCTCATCATTTCTTGTTGTGTCGGCCATAATCTCTAGTTCCTGTCTTTCTTGCTCCAAATAGTAGATCTTGTCATTCATGCCTTCCTTTCTATATGCCTCAACCATAATGGAGTATGTTGTGGAATTCGGTAGACATTTCTTGTCTTTCATCCTCTTAAACACCCTCTCCATCTCAATCAAATCCTCAGCCTTTGCACACGCGGATATCACCGAATTATAGAATGAAGTATTCTCAGGTATCTCAAACTTTCCAGCCAACTGAACGCTGCTAATCACCTTGTGGAAGAGGCCCGCATTAGCATAACCGTTAATAAGGCAGCAGAATGTCTTGGTGTCCGCTCTCATGCCTTCAGTACGCATCTGCTCGAATGTGCATTCCATGTGTTTTGCATCTCCAACATCAGCAAACGCCTCGATCACGTTGTTGTAAGTTGAAGTCGTCCAAGGGAACTGAAGCTTGCGCATATATTCCATCACTGTAGACATTTTATCATACATTCTTTTCTTTCCATATGCACCAATTAGAATATTAAAAGTTCGTGTTTCTGGCTCTATCCCAAAATCACGGAACTTTTCGTACCATTTCTCCATCATATCAATCTGACCCATGTTGCCAAACACACTGAGGATAATGTTCATAGTCCATACATCAGGCTTACAGGTCGTGCTCTCGAGCATCCCCGATAACACTTTCTCCATCTCATCAAATTTTCCAGCCCTACCATATCCACTCAAGACTATGTTCTGGGTGACTGTGTTCGGTGTAATTTGTCGCTCATCCATTTCCTTGTACAAGGATTCCACTAAATCAAACTGTAAGGCATCAACACAGGCCTTTATCAAAGTACTGTATGTAAAAACATCAGGTTGACAATTAGGAAGGGTCTTCATCTTGTCAAAAGTTGAGAATGCCTCTTCAATGAGGCCGTTCCGACAATAAGCTGAAAGCAAGGCTGTGTAAAGCTCGGAAGATGGATCCAATTCTTCTTCAACCATTGTGTCGAATAGTTGACGAGCCTGATGGGGTTGGCCCGATCTTCCGAGAAGAACCAATAGTTTTATGTAAGTCCCCTCTTTAGGTTGATAAAACGGTTGTTCCCTAAGCATGTGAAATACCTGAAAATTCATGACTGGCCACTTTTATGAAGCAAAAACAAGATCACAAAAAGCATATTCAAGAGGAATTCCTATTCTAGGTGCAAATATAAACTAACATTCTTTTGCATTTTCCCTAAAATTGTTTGTCTATAAAGAACTTACCAGCCAGACAACTTCTAAAATCCAATTTCCTCTCCTTTTTTTTTTTTTTTTTTGGGGATAAATGCAATTACAAACAAGAGCATAACAACTAACCGAAACCTATAGTAAGGTAAACCCAGAATATGTCTGTTAACAAAAGGTCACAGAGAACTGAGAGTGGAAAACATCACATTTTCATCATATTTCTCACAACTAAAGAAGCTAATTTGTTAACACAACTACTAGCCTCTCTAACAATATAAGAACAATGCGGATAAAATTCTTTCCCAAACATTCCTCAACTAGACAGCTTCTAATTTCCAGACGAGTTGGAAAGTAATTATTCATTTTGATAATGATATGCGGTGTACACAACTCTTATATCAAATTTACAACACCAACTTATACGGTGAATGAGTAATCTAATATTTTTTTTAGAGAGAGAGAGAAAGAGGCTCCTACCCAGAAGAGAAAAGACAAAATTTCGAAAACCCAGATAGTAGAAAAAAGAATGAGAGAGATAGAGGCAGACCTCAAGGGCTTGGAGCCACTGCTTGTTCTGGATACGCTCAAACAAGGTTTCAGTGACGGTGTTGACCCAGGCCTTGGCTTTATTTTTGCGGTCCAACTTCTTCTTGACATTTTTTATAGGCGTTTTCTTCGAAATCCCAGGTATGAATGTCTCTGATACGCCTGGGTATTCTCCTTGCTTCCAATGCCTCTTTTTACCCGAAGATGAAGCAGAAGAATTGGTTGTTCCAGACTTTTGTGGTGCAGCGAATGCGCAGCGAACGAGAAAAACAGTGGTGGGTTTGAGTTTGTTAGAGTTGTTTTTGTTGTTGTTGTTGTTGGGATTCTGAGATATGAGAGAAGATGGAAGCAGAGATGAAGAGAAGGAGAGATACTTTGAAGTCATTTTGCCTTTCTATTTCTCCCATGTGTGTTCTCTTTCATATAAACAAGGACTTGAAGAGGAAAAAAAAAAAAAAAAAAAAAAAAAAAAAAAAAAAAAAACACTTTTAAAAAAGAAAAAAAAAAAAAAAAAAAAAAAAAAAAACGACAAAGCACTCTTAAAACTGATATTCTAATGACTTTTGTTGGATAAACGACAACATCTTATCAAAATGATTGTTATCCCAGAAAACGACAACCTTGTAAAAAAGGAAATATCTCTATATTAAGATGAAGATTGTTGGGATGAAAATGTTCAGAGTGTTCCCCGCAAGTCGCAGTCACCAGAGACGGCGCCTCACCATCTCCTCCGATAATTATGTTATCATCTTAACTTTGAGATGAATAATTAATTTGTATATTTAATTTGTATCTTTTGATGTACTAAATAGAAACATTCTGACATTGTGTAAAGGTATGCTTTCGCTACATTAGGGATATGACTCTTATATGCGTAAATTTATTATTCATAAATAGAGAATCCATAGTTCTTGTTAAAAGAATTAATGATATCCTCTTTTAGTATTATCTAGAGATTGGAAAACATGAGCATTCAGTCATTAGATTACTTTGTATTATCTAATGGTTTATTATTTATATTGGAACATAATAGTTTTGTGATGAAGTGATAATAGAACATAAGATAAATATAATCGGGAATGTAAAACAGAACTTGACCATAAGTCGATTATGGATATCTTACGGAGATGACATACAATATAATAAAGTCATGGACATGAGCTAATTGGAGCTTTATAAATATGTTGTATTGATCGATAGTGCACTTCTAGACTTTTAGTGGAATGACACTATAACTTATAATCATGTGATGAACTTGTGAGTTAACAAATACTTTCGTAATTATAGGAGCTTAATCAATACATGTACATCGGGTCCCTCTGCTAGCTCGTATATTTTTCTGCTACGATAAGGCGTATTTTCTACATATTGGTAACTTATGTTGTTTCTACAAATTGATTATAAATCGGATTGAATTAATTCATGAGTGATTTATCAGTTGAATTAATTGTTTAAATTACTTCAAGATAAATTGTTTGAGTTAATTAAGTGTTTAGATTAATTCATAAGTTATTTATCGATTGAATTAATTGTGTAAATTAATTCAAGATAAATTAGTTGAATTAATGTTTTTGTTTTTATATGATATGAGAATATAAATTTATAATTATTTTAATAAGATAGTTTTTACATTGGATTATTTAAATTAAGATTGGAGTTGTACATATTATTCTCGCGTTCAAATAAAAGGAACATAATCGGGTTGGAAAAATGGGTCCGGTTAATCAGTGGGCTACGTCCAGTTGACCGAACAAGTTATGTAGTACATACATAGCCCGTCGTGTGGTTAACCAGACGGTCTACGTGACACCGACTAGTTGCGATTTTAGATCTGAAAACTTAGCAGAATTGCGGAACAACTCTAACCTACCTCTATAAATAGCCTATTATGTCACAAAGCTATTTAGATCACTTGAGAGAATCTTTTGGGGATATTGGTAAGGGTTCCTGAGAGGTAAAACTATTCAAACATCAAGAACTTTTTTTCCTTTGGCTCTCGTATGGTTGGAAGGAGATCAAGATACCGACTAGGAGATTGGACGACGTGTGCCCACCTGCACTCCGGTCGTGGAAAAGAGAATAATGGAGAAGATCAGTTGGTTGAGACTTTTCCGGTGTTTATTCTGTTTGTTATAGTTGCTTTCAAGATTCAACGATTTGTCTCGTAGATGTATGATATAGATCTTTTGTATTTATGATATATAGCATTTCAGTTTTGTTTTGTTTAATTAAAAATTTTAAAATTTCTCTGTGCAACTTTACCCGTATTTTCCAACAAAATGTCCTCCTACCCTTGAAGCAAATGCTCCTAATGTAGGAAACAAAGATAAATATAATTTGTTAGTTCTAGGAACATGTTTAGAAAAGGGTGATTTCTACTCTTGAATAGTGTATTTGAGAGAAACTAATCATGTTCGGTTTCTTTGCAAGAAAATTGTTTCCACTGAAGTAAAGGAAAAGAATCAAAGTAAATAAGATGTACTAATTTTAAAAACATCTTTAGTAAGGGTGATTTCTCGTCCTAAATAGTTGATTCGGAAGCAACTAATCATATTTATTCTTCTTTGTAAAGTCATATTTCTTACGAAGAACTTGCCGATGGGGAATACACGATGAAAGTGGGCAATAGCACGAGGGTATTAGTAAAAGCAGTGGGAGAAGTTATACTTCAATAATTTAGAAATAATAAGTATTTGTTTTGAATAATATTTATTTCCTTCTAAACATAAAGAGAAATTTGATTTCTATATCTAAATTATTTGAAGAATCTTACACAGTTGCCTTTAAATAAAAGAAATGAGAAATCAAACAAATAGAAAAAACATATATTCTAAAAAAGAAAAAAAAAAGATCTTACAGACGAGCTATTACCTTCAGTAAAAGAATATAATAGGCCTATTTAGTTCGTTGATTCGAGTTTTTAATTCGAGTTGAGATGTGACTTTATATAAGAGCTTTTTACTGTAGCAAAAAAGTTAAATGTGACTGTTTATGAGAGTTTTTTACTGTAGCAAAACTTGAATCGGGAAAATGAACGGGGCCAATAAAAAACAAGCAAACTAAATGGTATCTAACTTTCGAGTGGGACGAGTCACAGAGAAAATAGTTAGGGATTTGAGGAGTGAGACACTATAAAAAAATGGTTTTGATGCTTAGTTCTCTGAAATAACGTTTTTCATTAAAAGAGAGATTGAGGTTTAAAAGAAGATAAACCACTGTGGGATTGCAATGAGAGATAGAAGAAAGAGGGAAAACTCAAATTTAAGTAAATAAACAGTATTTTTTCTATTCTTAAAAATGTCATAATTTTTTCGTTTTAATTTTAATTGAGACGATTTTTTTCTATGCGTTCATAAAGAATAGACGAATAAAATGTTACCCATATACCCTATTAAAATTTTTCATCACCATTGAGTTTTTATTAAAATACTATCCAAATACAAATTCAAGTTTTGACTCACTCAAACACAAACTCAAATAGATTCTCAATTCAAACCATAACTCAAAATATGCACATTTAAACACAAACTCAAATTAAAGTTCCAATTAAAACTATATTTAAATACATTTTAACTCAAATCAATATCTAAATTTAAGTCACCCTAACTCAAAAAATACAAATGAATATGCGAGTAATCCAGCTTAGCTTAAATTTGAGCACTCATTTGATAACAGCTAAAACATAAACATATGTTATTTATTTATTTATTTGCTTGTGATAGTTGTTACTACTTTAACAGTACCTCTGAAACATAGACAATTGTTACTATTTTAAGTTGAGGCTAAAAAAAACAGTTGTATAATTTTTAAGGAGAGGTTGAAGTATAAGAGTCAATTTGACATTATTGTATTGTTAAAATTTTTTATTGTTACTATATTATTAGTAATAAGTTGCTATAGTCATAAGTATATAAGTGTTTCATAAATATTTTTACAAAACTGCTATAAATACTAGAAGTAAAAATTTAAGTATTTAGTAAATTGTGTATAAAATTATCGTGTAGATGTATAAATATGAAAGTAGATAGTTTTATTTATATTTTTATAGTCAATATTCAAAACATAAAAAATATAATTTTAATTTATTAATTAAAATATTTCTTAAAATAAATATATTTATTGATAAGGAAAAGTTATTCATCTACTAAATATCTTAGTTATTGTTATTATTTTAAATATTTTGATAATTACTAAAAATATTTGAATAAAATTTAACATAGTATACTTGTTAAAGATTTTTAATTATAAATAATTATTTTAAAAATATATGTTTTTTTAATTTGATATGGAAAAAGTAAAATAGGCATATTGGGAATTAAATTTTATTATGAAGGTTATCTTCATAAATTTGGAAGATGGCTGTAGAAACTGCTGTGTAAAAATAACCCTAACTTGCTTATCAAATTTTAGTACATGACAATAATTTTTAAAAGTTGCTGGATAAAATAAGAATTTATCAAACACCGTAACATGTTGTAGCTTTTTTTAAAAAAACTATAAATAACTTCTAAAAGCAATGCGAAATGAGCCCTAAAACTTTTGAAAGACAAATAACCTTGGGTTGAAGTATAAAAGAAAACAAGACGCATTCCCTCGTCTATAATACTTATAGGTTATTGATTATAGAATTGTCCTAATTTAAGTTTGTTCTCTTACTATACTCTTATTCTCTTACAACTCTAAATATTCTTTGATCAAATGTGAACTTCACGTGGACTTTTACTATTCTACAATGATTAATTTTCTTGAATGTGCTCATAAGTATCTTTCTCTAGCTCATTCGTCCTTATCCAAATATATAATATTTTTTAAAATATGCTCTTTTCATTTGGATATAAATTAAATTTGACCGAAACACAAGTTTTGATTGAAATATGCAATTTAGTACAACTACTTTTTTAAAAAAATTTGAAATATTTAAAATGTGCCTCATTGAACTATTTTCTTCTCTAGTACGTCATATTACAAAAACTTTTTCGAGATGTATCCCTACTTAAACTTCTTTAAATGCCACCATTATAAATATTTATCTAAATAAAACGCCTATTTTCCTTTTCTTTGTTGATCCAAAAAGCGTCTATTTTCTTGCAGCCCGCTTCAATACTATTTTTTCATAGTTACCCTTAAGTAATTTTCTCTCTAATTTTCTTAATATATTTCTTTTTTTAACCTATTACTATATAGCAAAAACATGAGATAAGGACGGAAATAATATAATTAGTAAAGTGATTGATAAATTATAGCATAATTTGATATTTTAAGTTTTAAACATTATTAAAAACCTAAAATACCATGGTTGGAATCGGCGGCCGGCTCCGGCAACTGACGACCGGCTCTGGTGACCAAAGACCATTTTTTGGCAATCTGTGACTATTTTTTAGCAAC